CGTACGGTGTCGAATAATTTGGTGTCGAATAAATCTGTGTCGAATCGAGCGGTGTCGAATCGTACTGTGGTCAATAGAGTATCACCCGAAAAAAGAACATTTATATCACTTGTCTAATACATGTATTTTTTTGCTGTCATTTTTACTTACTTGGAGGCGGTGTATTCGCATAAGCATGAAGATATCCAATGACTTGGTTTACCATACCCTCCATTTCTTCAAAGCGGGTTATCTGTGTCTGCAGCACTCCTGTCAAGTCTCTCATGATAGCTGTTACCGTCATTCTGAAACAAAATGCAACAGTACAATGTACAATGTGTACACTTGCAGTATGTGAAATATATTATCGATACTTACAACTGCTGGGGAAGCTGAGCTCCATTTCTCCATCCCATCCTAACTTCCAGGTCGTGTTTCTGCAATTCGTGCAGTTGGGTATTGAGTTTTTGTATGCTCTTGACCAACATATTTACCGTGTACTGTAAGTGAGATGCAGCTGGCTGAACGATNGTCGTGTGCTGGATGCACTCTTGGACAATATCCATGATATTATAATTTCTCGTAGACTTCTGAATACTACGATGTACTTGAGACTGAGTCTAGAGACTTGATGACACTTGAGTGAGATTGATGAGACTCGTCAAAAGTCGCTTCTTTTTATAATTCATCCTTTAATTGTGTTAAAAATCCATGTGTTAAAAGTCTGTATGTGTTAAAAGTCTTCCTTCGTATCCCACAGGATGTCGATGAACTTATATCAGACTGCAACGTTTGTACACAGTCTATCTGTTTTACTGCAGCTATACAATTATTTTATACCTAACTGCGTATAAAACTAAAAGGTACGAATCTTATTACATCAAGACGCTCTTCATCTCAACGGATTATGTTACAGACGAACGTGCTGAAAACTCGCGAATGTAGAATTGGAACACGTGTTTTTTCGATAGCTTTAATTGCAGATATTTTATACGTATGCGGTTGAAACATCTAATTGTCTTGGTTTTTTCTGCATCTTGTTACATCAAGACAGCATCTCTCGCTCTCATCATGCTAGTCATCACTATGGATCATGTTACATACGAACGTGCCGAAAACGCGCAAATGTATAATTCTATGTAGTTAAACATCGAAATATCTTTGGTTTTTTGCTAAATAATTAAAATCGTTATTGGAGAAGGAGCTATTTCTTGTCCACTCAAATGAGATAAAGCGGTGGGGTAATTAGTATTTAAGATCCTATCTCACGTTCGCACATCAATCGATTCTAACTACAAAGTATTATAAAAAGAAACTACTGAAGAACTTCACAACGTAAGTACCGAATTTGATACATATTTGCGTTTGTTTTGTATCTGATGAATTGCTTATTGACGTGCTATTTATCTAACGGTATATGTCTGTCTATGCTGTTTAGACTATGAAGTTGCCACCAAAAGCTGAATAGAACTGAGATGGAAAAAGGAGAGAATTATTTCGATTCGATGAATGGTGTTCGACCAATAGATCATCCAGAGACCTATCACAATCTGCTCCATTGTGTTTGTCTCCAATGCCGATCCAGAAGTGCGAGTGTTCTATCTGGAGCAACGCATACCACGACGACGAATATGTGTGGAATGTTACGAACGACAAGGACCAATGGATTTATTCGTTGTATGCACGGATACGCATTCCCTGTACAGCACATTATTTTTTCTACCGTGGNCAATGCACTGTATGACATGCGCTAAACTACTGTTTAAAATCGATNGACCAGCCTATAACTGCAGAGCATGTATACTAGAATTCATGGAGAATAGACATCTGTTGCAAGCAGAAGGTGAAGTTTTTGTAAACGAGCGATGGTAACAAAGAATGAAATATATTTGTGTGCTTTTTTTGTACTGTACATAATATACTAAATTAAATATTAAATAAATGAGAAATTTATTCCTTCGTGTCTTGTCCTAATATTGTGCTATGAGATAAAGAGAATTGTGCTGATATGTGCAATGCGATGATGCACTAAAAACGTGTGTGTTGCAAAGATATAAAATTACAATATGCATAAAGTAAACATTCGTTTTTTGCTAATTAATCACAATTTCAATGGAGAAGGGGCTATCTTTTGTCCAATTCAATTAAAAGAAACGGTGAGGGCAGTAGTATTTAAGAGCTCGAAGTTCGCGTTTAACCATCAGTTTATAGGGATAAAAAAGAGAATTGTATATTCATCAGAATGGCTTGTATTCCGGAGAACTGTCAAGAAGAATATAGATTCGAATTTGTTCGATTAGCCAGTTTTAAAGATTGGCCATGCTCGTGGATAAAACCGGAAAAACTGGCAGCAGCTGGATTTTATTACACGGGCGAAGAAGATAAGGTGCAATGTTTCAAATGTAAACTTGAAATACGCAAATGGGAAACAAATGACAATCCAATGGCCGATCATCAACGGTGGTCCAGACGATGTCGATTTGTTGAAAACTTATTTTACGCAACGTAGCCATTGGTGTGGATTCTAGCACAATTCCGAAAAAATGGACAAAGCAGACGAGAAATCCACGTGTTTTATGTCCGTTTCCGATTTGGATAATGTTACCGAGGACATTGGAATGTTAAACAAAATATTGTCAAAACCGAAATATCCACAATTTGACACTTATGAAGCAAAAATCAATACATTTGAAGCATGGCCAAAATCATCAAAACAAACAAAACAAGATCTTGCAAATGCTGGATTTCATTACACGGGAAGAGATGATCAGACATTGTGTTACTATTGCGGAGGAGAATTGAAAGATTGGAATCCGGAAGATGTTCCCTGGGAGCAACATGCAAAGTGGTTTGAATACTGTCCGTTCCTGATTGTTTGCAAAGGACGCGATTACATAAACACAGGCATCAAAGGAACATATTATACACGAAACAATTCAATTAATTCATCCGAAAAAATACAAGAAGCAGACGAGAAATCGGACGAAGTCACTGGCATATTGCAGCAGAATGTGCTACGTTTTATTGTTATAGTAGTTTTATATGTTGTTATATTTGCATTACATTTTTACCTATAATATCTTACTTCTAATGTTTTATTCACAGTTTACAATATACACATAATAAATATGTATACTTATATATTGCTTATTCTCATAACGTTGGGTATATATTAGTGTATAATAAATGAATTAGTTTGTACAAATAATTTCTTTATTATTACAACCTGTTGTCTAATCCAACTCTGATTTTTTTTCGATACACAAAACTAGATTATATAATAAAATATGTATATTTTGCCATTGTTATTATTTCTTGCCAACAACCTTTGCCAACAACTTGGTCATATTTGTCTTGATTTGCACTGCGTTCTACACATATGATATAAAATTGCAATTCTGCAACTGTCTCGTCTTACTCGCTTTGCTTCGCACCGCGTTCCAAAACATAATATAACTACACATATATGTGTAAAAATATGTCGAACAAAATATAATCAATCCACGTTTAATCCCGATTGTACCATGTTCAATAATACTTGAACCGTGTGTAACCACAAATAAACCGCAAAACAAGCCACGTTCACCCTCGGTCGTATCATAATTAGGCCATTTTCAACTATAATCGAACCACGTATAATCAACATCAAACCACGTTCAACCATAATCAAACTACGTTCAACCATAATCGAACCATAAAAAAACTACGTTCAACCATAAGTGAACCACGTTCAACTATACTTAAACCATAAACAAACCACGTTCAGCTATGAAACCATGTTAAACCGCGTTAAGTTATAGAAACATATGCTATGGAGAAGAAAGGTAGTAAATGTACAAAGTTGTTTTGTATATCAGTTTATCGTCGTTTAGACCACCAATTAAATATTGTAAATACATTTTATAATGCACAATGTTTCACATGTTTTTCACATCATAGACATCTCAATACATTCAGTTTATTAAAAAAGCAATATCGTCGTAATCGGCATCTAATGTTTTAATAATTAATCCATGTCGTACGTCACTATCAAGAATATCAGCTAGCCAGTTACATTTTTCGGGACCTTTAACATAGACGAGTGAAGACGCGTCGTCATCATTTTCTGTGGTGCCGCAAATAACTGTTGTAATCACATTCTTTGCTCTGCGGTATGCAACACTTCCATCCTTCCAACGCAGACCATGATGAGCCGACATCATCAGCCAAGAAGCTGCGGATTTGTCTGATCTTGCAAGTAGACTTCACGGGAAGGGACTTCCAAAAATGTAATGCGAGAGAACCTTTTCGCAGTACCGCTACTTCCTTGACAATAAATCTTTTTCGGACTACAAATCTTTGGGTGACACTCTATTGACCACAGTACGATTCGACACCGCTCGATTCGACACAGATTTATTCGACACCAAATTATTCGACACCGTACGATTCGAC